GAGAGAAACAGTACCAAAAACCAAGAGACCTCTTAATTAGTAATACCCTGGAATTGAAACTATGGGGAATCAAACTCATTTGTGATTTTAATACAGAACTTCTTTAATATGATCCAACATAATCCCCCTTTTGACACTAAGATTTATAATCGTCAGTGTCACTTTCTATGTAGCCTATTCAAGAGAAAGTACTGTGCGGCAATTTGAGTTTGTGATTCCAATTCATGCCACATACATGATCCTAGTGATGTATCTTTACTACAAGGTTCTGGGGCAACAGGCAAGGTGAGGCACACCCACTTTTGAGGAGTCCATTCGGTACAACCTCTAGTGTCCAATAGCTTCCCTCCCTCCCTCCCCAGCCCACTGGCTCAAGGTCCAGGGTAGCCAGAAGGATCCCATGTGTAATATGGGGAGTGGGCCAACCTTCAATACCTTTGCCTCCAGGGACTGTTTCTCCCATTAACAAGTCTGGTTTTACAATACTGGAAACGTATTGCATCCATTCATTTTGATAAGTGTCAAACAAAATGATCTCTTTCTTTGTTTTAACAAATGCACCAAACCCTTAATATTTCCCAATATGACCCAGAACATTTTGTGTTCCAAAGTTGCTAGGGCAAATATCTGCATTTCAGTGCATCCCATAGCTATGGCTGTGTAGTTTCCTATTTCTAATTTTTTTTTCTTATGCATAAGCCATGTGGTAGTATTAAGCCATTGCCAAAGATTCCATCGGGCTTTTAGGTTACCCAAACCAATTTGGACCAAGTCTACATTGGCATGTACTTGTTTTTGTATCAGGCTGTCCTGTAGCTGGGACAGAGAGCTTAATTTATTTTTAATTACCTGCAGGTCTTTAGTATTTTTTTTAAACATACAACAGTGCTAGCAACAAGACAAAACACAAGACAAAACATAGAACACAAAACACAATTTCTATTGTGACAGTAGATTCATGGTATTGGGTTGCTTTTCAGCTGGCATCAGCTTTTCCTGATTTTCTGAAAGACAAAAAGAACATGTTTCTACCCCTTTTGGGGTGGCAGATTATTGCTTAAAATATTTCTTTCACAAATACCCTTGCTGATTGCAGGCAAAACAGAGGAATTGGCCCCCACATTTTCCTGTTTTTGTTCTATAGGCAGATCAGGTTTCAATGGTTTCTATCTTTTAAGGGTTATGGGGAAATTATCCCACTGTTTAGTCATTAAATCCCTGAGGTGGGGTACCTCAGTTTCCCTTCTTATACAGCAGACCAAGTTTATAATGTTTTTCCTGCTGTGTTAAGCTTTAAGTTTATTTACAGGTAATAGCTGAGAAGCATCATTACCATATGACCTTAAAGGATTTTTCCAAAAATCATACACACTATATGGTGTTACAGGGGTACTTATTATCATTAAATTTATTAAAATTATCTTGTTAACCCATGCCTTTTATTTAGACAATTTGTTTGCTGACCAGGTATGTCCTTTATCTTCAGCTCCTTTGTGCTGCTAGTTCTTTCCTTCCTTTATCATTTAGGTAATTTGCATTTTCGCAGACGCTTCCTGCTTTTGGATTTAAAGCCATCAGCCGTTCAGAGACTCTATCTTAAAAGGGACACAATCAACTTTCACCAGAGTTTTGATTACTTTTAACTTCTGCTTCCAAAACACACAACAATCTGAAAAAGAAAACCCAACCTATTGTGGCTCCCTTTGGAGCCCTAATAGCATGTTAATTAAGTAGCATGGTATGTTTGCATTTCTTTTGCCCCTTCTACAATATACCCTGCACATGTTCTGGGGCAAATGCACATTCCTTCCATAGTTTAACTTTTATAACATTATCCATATCAATTTTTACATAAGGTGTAACTATTTCTTTTTTTTTTTTGCTTACAGAGTTTTCATGTACCTTTATCAAAGTGACAATCTGATTACTCAAAGCCATTTTAAGACTCAGTGTTTCTAACATTGCTTCTTTTTGTTTTATGCACCTCACCCCTGCTGTTGCTTCAGAGAGCCACTGTCTTTTTTAATTTTTTTATTTTTACTACAACTCTCATCTGCTATTTTGTTACAGAAAACAAAAACAAACAAACAAAAAGAATCCAGAATTTTTTTTCTATTCTCCTGATTTTGACTGCCTTGCTGCAGCCACAACTTAACATTTTAAATTTTGTAAAGCATTGAGTTACCTTTTAAGGGTTAAATGCCAAATCCCAAAGCCAAACAACACTAATTACCTGTGCCTAGCAAAAAGTTCTGTCAGTTTTGCAACTTTGAATTAAAGAGTCAAATGGATTTTTAGTGGCATTATTTAAAACAAAAACAAAACGAATTGGTCCTTAGAACTTTACATATATACATACACATTTTCTTTTCCTTAACATCCCTTCCACACTGCTCTGTTTTTTACATCTTACATTCCCTTTATACATTTGAGGCAGTTAAGTTCCAATAGAACCCTCTTATGTTCTTTTAGCAAATTTGACTAAATTGTCCAGACAAATGATTTTAATCAGATAGTTTATTTTTAATAATTGGCTAATTTACAGACATTCCTTTGGAAAAGGCCCATTTTTCTTTCAGAATGGCTGCAAAGAAACCAAGAATGCTCTTTCTCTAACACTTTTCCTTTTTAACATTTTCACAAAGTTTAACTGCTTAATTCCCTCCAGCCTCTGCAGAGTTAACTTTTTTTTTTACTCTCTTTTCTCTTTGTAATTATGCCTGGGGGTGCCGTACATAGGACCTTCTCCCTCTTTACCTGCCTCCCTCCAGCCTCTGCAGAGTTAACTTTTTCACTCTTTTTGTATTCCTGGAGTGCCTCTTTCACTATTTTCAGCTGGCTTTGGGTATTTGTAGCCAGCACCTTCCAATTGTCTGCTCCCTTTTCCGTTTGTGCCTTTTCCTCTTTACATGAAGACAAGCGGAGGGAAGAATCCTTACATGCCTCCCACAACAACCAAATTGCTGCTGCATCTCTTTTGGCAGCACTAGAAGGTTTGTATATGAGGATATACTGAGCCAATCTATCCTCTAGGTCCGAAATAGTGCAGACATCAGCTAGGGCTTGTTTAGTCCAAGGACTCTGCCCAAATTTTTGAAGGATTTGTTTAAAAGGTGTAATTTCTTTAACAAAAGGTGAGGTTGGAGTTCCTTCTGACTCCATTCCTCCCTCTGGTACTGGCATACCCTGTTTTCTTTTAAACATCTTAACATGGATATTTCAATCTCTTTGTCACTGCTGATATTACTTAGCAAGTGACACAGCCTAGATTCTGAAATCATAGCTTAATCTATGCGTTTTTTCCCTGCTACCTTCCCAGAGGCCAGCAGGTCCCCTGCTACCTTCCCGGAGGCAGCAGGTCTGGTTAACCTATTTCTCCCTGCTACCTTCTCGGAGGCCAGCAGGTCTGGTTAACCTGTTCTTCCCTGCTACCTTCTCGGAGGCCAGCAGGTCCCCTGCTACCTTCCCGGAGGCCAGCAGGTCTGGTTAACCTATTTATCTGGCTTGCATGGGCTGTATGGGGAGCCATAACACACACGAGTTTTTAACAAAGGACAGTGCCAGTTAACATACTAGTAAGGGTGAAAGTTAACATGAGTGTATATTTTAAAGAGTCTGTCCACAGTGAACAGGACTGGAAACTTCCTTTAAAGAAAAAAAGCTGTGACTAATCCCCAAAAAATTAGGGCAGGCAGAGGGTGGCATAACACTGGACCTTGCAGATCTTACTGGCCAGCTTTGGTAATTGAAATGTCAGCTTTTAAAAAAAGACATCAAGGTTCAAATCCTGGACTGATTGAAGTCAATGGGAAAACTCCTCTTGACCTTAGTGGGGCCAAGATTTCACCCCCAGGAGTTGCTGAACCGAAGGGCTCCCATTGTTAAGTATTACTTCCTAATAAACTTGTTGCATGCATTTTTGTTTTCTCAACCATATATGTGCTTCTTTTTTGTTCCCCCGGCAACTCTATTCAATAGCAGAGTGACAGACAAAGCAGAGCACCACTTTTCTAAAGGCATGGCTCATTAATCGAATATACATGCCACCTTCCAGGATTTGAAATAGGGAAGATGCAGTGAACCAGCCTAATATTTTACCAAGCCCATCAAACCACAGGGCCAAGTTCAGCCTTGGTTCAACTCCATAGACTTGCACCTACCTGCTGCAGGGCTGAGTTTGGCCTGAAGTTTTTTCCCAGTTATGCTTCAGTCCAAAAAATTCCTGCTTTAGCAACTGAATTTTGAAAGCCAATTGAAAATCTTGATTCTCAAACCCAACAGATGTTTGCTGGAGCTAAAGCAGCCCTTGCTTCTACACTGTGTATTCCTTACTGTCTTCAGCAATTGCCAGTTTACACATGCCACGTTGTATGAAACAATTAGCCTGCATTACAAATTTACAACTTCAATAGTGTGCATGTATGCAGTCAGTACACATGCGGAAAAATCCAGAGCTCTGGCTTAAAAGAGAGGCAAAGGAGGAATGTTAATCAATGCAATGCCAAAAATAATTAAATCAGGACTTGAAAGGTGAGTCATCATTGCACACCAGAAATAATTTTCAGCACAGCCAAAAGTAACGGAATGCTTCCTGAAGCTGTGTTCCTAAGGCTCCAGCTGCAGGGGAATCGAGTCTACTGAACAACAAAGCTCTGTTCTCTTTAGCAAAGAAACTCACTGCTAAAATAAATGTAGTGACAATAAAATTCAGAAAGTGGAGCTTACGTCCAAGTGGAATTTAAACTCAGGGGAGAGGCGTGCCAGATTAGGGCATTTTCTACCTCCAGGTGTCACACAAAGCCAGCAACCCTTACTCACCTTGAGTAGTACCTTCCTTTGCAAACAATCTAATTGAAAGCAAACTGGCAACTCATACAGCAAGGTACTACTCGCTGTGAGTAAGGGTGGGAGAATAGAATACCTAGTCCTGCCCTGAGTGCAGGGGATTGGACTAGAAGACCTCTTGAGCTCCCTTCCAGTCCTACGATTCTATGAATGTTGCCTACAGTGTTTTGCAGCCTGAAATGCCAAGTTAAGCTTGTCTTACACTCTGAGCCCCAAGTGCCCAACTACAGCATGAGAATGGAACGGGGGGCGGGGGGAATTAGATAAATAACTATTTATCTAGTTCAACAAAGAATTAAGGCTGCGGACTGGAGCTTTTCCAATGAGTCGGTGTCAGTAGATCATTCGTCATTAGCTTAAACTAACATGAAACAGAAAGCAGAAGTCTGAACATATGGAACTAACACACTCAGAATTCTGATTAGCCACTTGCTTACACTACGTTGTTTCAAGCTGTGAGCCTGTATTGAATCATTTAATCCTTGTGCAGGCGGTTAATATAGTAACCTCTTACAGTTGTCACAGTCCTTGGAGAGAGGAAGTGGAAAACTACCCTCCTCGCCTTCATGACAAGAGAGAAAAATAATTACGGAGACTACCGCACCATCACCACCATGAAGATGCTTAATGCTGCCATTCTCATTTTAGTCCTGTTTTATCCCAGTCTCAGCACAGCGTGGCCTACGCACACAGTCTGCAAGGAGAAGAATTTGGAAATATATTACAAAAGTTGTGGTGAGATCTTTAAAATTCCATTTTATATTTACAAGGACAATAAAGTTGTTATTGCATACCAGGGAAAGTTCCTATTCCAGGTGATGAATGAAAGCGTTAAGTTTCTGAGCAAGCCCTGATTTTCTAGTTGGAATTGGCTTAGTCGTGCATGGTTTTTGCTTCATTAAAACCTCCTGCTGAGATCAAAGATAACAGGGAGAGGAAACAAATCATGTACATTCTCCAAAGATTAATAAATAACTGCCAAAAATAGAGGTAATTTAGCACAGAAAGGTTGCGCAACTGGGATTTTTATCTTGAAGTTAGACAAAACCCTTTAATCTTCATCCTCCTTACCCCTCTTGTGAAATCAAGGCAGCAGGCTGTCATGGCATTGATCTACTGTTTTCCTACGGTAAAGTTTGGCTGTGGAGATGCATGTTTTCTCTTCTCCCACTTAGAGTTACAAGAGACCCCGTGTGACAGTAGGAAGGAATCAGGCTGTCGAAAGCTGCTACCATGCTTAGCTAGACTGCAGCAGACATGCTTAACAGAGGCATTTCCTGTGGACTGTAGGTTTGTTCTTTAAATCTGTTGAAAAGAAAAGGAGCAAATGGCACTGAAATAGCTGAAAATGAATTCACTGAACAGTGCTGCCTTTTCAAGTTGGTTGCTTTGCTGGCCTTGCGCCTCGTCTATCGTACTGATCTGCTTTACTACTGGGACAAAGGGAATTAGATTCACAGACGCCTCATTCATATTACACACGTGATGTGAAAAGTGATTCATGGCAAATGAACACCCTAGAGTTTGTTTTTCCAATTCATCCAGACACAAAGGGTTCCCCATGAGGCTTTTTCTCCCCTGCAGCTCTCCTGCAGCTTTGCACATCCATTAAATATAAAACCAGCAAGTGGCAATAGGAGTAAATAAATATGTGTAATAAAATCCTTATTTTATAAGGATAAATAAAATAAAAGCCCATTCCTATGAGAACAAAATCAGGCTTCACATATTATAAATGGATCTACTGTTTTAGGAAAAATTTAATTAGATATTGGATGGAAGCTTTGCCCCCATTACCTTTATTTTAACAATAATTCCTTGTGTGAATTAATTCCCCCACCTCCTCCTAACATGTCTCCATTAACAAGTAGCAGACTTTACAGAGGCAGTGGGCTAAATTTCAAGTTGCTTTAAATCGTGAGAAGAATTGCTTGCTGGGTGTATGTCAGTTAAGGATTCCCCCCCCCATCTCAGATTATGAGCCAAAATGTTTGATTTAGAGCATACACCTCAACTGCTGTTTCCCCATACAAAGATACTTTCAGCCAGAATAATTGTTTATATTGAGAACAACAAACAAGAAAGAACTTAATTAAAAGGTCCCCATGAGAAAGCCCCATTCTGCTCTCACATCCACAAGAATCAGGCATAGCTTTAGAAGGCAGTGGAGTATCACAGGTGTAAAACCAACATGAGAGCTAAGGGCACATCTAGACTTCGAGCTGGGGGTGTGATTCCCAGCTCAAGGAGACATACCCGTGCGAACTCTCATAGAGTGAGCACACTCAAAATAGAATGTCCCTGCAGTGGCATGGATGGCAGGAGGAGCAAGCTACCCCAAGTACTTGCTTAGGGTCTCAGATAGGGGCACACTCAGAGCGGCTTGCCCCTCCCACTGGTCGCACCACCATGGCTACACTCTGTTCTTAGTGAGCTAGCTCAATCCAATGTCTCCTGATGTTGGAATTTACATTGACAGCTCAAAGTGTAGATATACCCTACGTCAGAGCCAACATGCATGGGCCTGATTTTCCTCTCACTGACACTGGGGCAAACCAGGACTAACTCCAACAAAAGTAATGACATTACTCCGATATAAGAGACTGGCATTGGTGAAAGGAGATTTGGGATTTGTGTCTCCACTGACTAGAGCTGATTAAATATATATATAAACTTTTTTGGACAAAAAATGGATTTGACTAAGATTTTTCATTTTAGTTGAAAGTTTTGCGGTTTCCAACAATATACTACTCCAGTGATATACTACTGGCAATGCAAGAGGTAACCTCACTTTTCTACATGCGGCCGAGTCATGGGAATCGGGGCTCCCTCACCCTGAATTTCTTTTCACAAGCAGCCCTCACGTACTCTTACCATAGCGTACTTTATTTACAACATTTTATGCACCTCCATGTTGCATCACCATAAAGTTTTTCCCAACGTTTCTCATGGGATGAAAGGGTGGGAAGACAGGTCTCACCACTCTGAGATTCTGGACTTCTTTGCCCTTCCTTCCAGCCCTCCCCTTTCCGTTCATACCTCCCATTTAACAGGTCCCAGCTGATGAGATGAATCCCCTTCTTAGTTCACTCCTAATCAACTGTCTCCCAACTTGGCCCATGCAGGGATACTTACAAAGTGCATAAACTGGTGAGCTCCCGCCCTTTGCCCCCCAAGCTACTCCCACTGTCTCAAAAGCCCCTTCAGCTATTCTCATCTCAGAGGAAATAGCAATGCCATCTTTCATCTGTGTTGATAAATTGCTTTCCCAATGGACCTTCTGGTGCTAGGTCTAGAATATCTTTCAAGCCAGGCAACTTTGCCCATTACACTGCATAGACTTATGAGATACTTCAAATGCAGCAATGCCCAGAAACCACAGGACTGCTTGTCATGTCAGAAGGATAGCTTTTCATGGTGTCAGTGTGAGGTCCAAGAGTTCAGAATAAGAGCTTAAGAGCTTCCTAGCCCATGAATCCTGGACATTGGTGGAATGGGAATAATAACAAGTACTACTGTGCATGACAGGCATGTTCTGCTGAATGGCAGAAAAACGTTAAAGGTGAATTGCAAAGCAAAAGTTGAACATTCGTTTTAACCCCACAAATCCAACTGGGGATATTCAGCCCAGAAATAAATGTTAGCCAACCTCAGTAAAACTCTTCTCCCTCATTCCCTCCCAGTCTGAAAGCCTCAGGGTACTTCCACTGAAGATATCCCAGAACGCATCATTCTGTGACATCAGATAGGGGTTACAATAAGGCTTCCAGGATGAGATCCTGGCCCAACTGAAGTCAATGGAAAAACTCCCATTGATTCAATGGGACCAGGATTCATCCCGGTTATTTATGATTTTACATCCCGGGATATTGACAATGCTGGAGGAAAAACGAAGTGGATTTCAGGAAGTGAAAGACATTTTTAACTAAATTTGTCAAAATTTTATTTCTGTGCGCAGTGCCCTACACAGCCTGATTAATAGGGCTTAGTTCCGCGTATAAATCTGGTGTTACATGTTCATTTTCGCTTTGCAGTTCACCAAGACAGCAACAAAAAACTGACTAAAGCCAAAATAAGGTCAAATGTTACTATGTTGACTGCAGTGTAAGACCTAGATGGAGAACTGAAGATAGGTAGAAGCAAAGAGTAGCTTAATGAATGACAAAGAGCCATGAACTGCAAGAAAAGCACCAAAAAAAGAAAAAAAATCCTGATCAGTAACTCCATAGTGAGCAACGTAGGCTGAGAAAGTGGTGGCCCAGAGAAGTAAATAGGCTGCTACACTGTCTCCTAGATGTAACAGCTAGTACTGTGAGTATGTGGGATAACTAGGGATAACTATATAGTCTACCAGGGAATAAGTGATCAAAGTGAAGGAGGATCTACCATGACCACAAATCACTTAAGAAACCTTGGAAGACATATTAAGACAGAAGTAACACAGGTCATCTTCTTGAAGATTCTTCCAATGCCAAAAGCAATCAAGAGAGAAGAGTAATATGGAGGACAAACTGATGGATGTACCAGGAGTGTAGAGAGATTGATTTTGCATTTATTAGAATGTGGAACAATGGCAGCTTGTGTTCAGCAGGATTTACTAAGTCTAAAGGATAGCTTTCATATATCTCAAGTGATTTGGCATTCACTTGCAACATATGAAATAAGGCAAAAGGAATTCAGAAAAAATGTAATGTTTTAACATGCTCAAATGCCTCTCTCATATGGAATATATATTCAATGTCTACAGAAACATAAGACAGGGACGAGATCCAAGGTCCATTTAGTTTTGTATCCTGTCTCCAACAGTGGCCAGTAACAGATCCTTCAGGAGAAGCTATAAGCGCACTGCAGGAGGCAGATGTGGGATAATTTGCTCCCAACATTAAATCTCATCCCACTCTCCAATAGTTTGAGACTGGCTTAAACCCTGAAGCATAGAAGTTTAATATCCCTTCCACAATTTTTATCATTCATTATATAAGAAACATGTAAGAAGAACTCAACGTTATCAAATGTGAAGCTTCATTGCCAGTTTAACCACTTGTTTATTACTTTGTAGTCTGTCTGAGTGCCTGTTTTATACAGCTTTTCAAGAAAATCAGGCTAGAAACATCATAATATTTTAAACTCTTTGACTAAGTGCCTGAGTGAAATGGCAATTTGACAAAGTGACTAAAAGCTTCAGTCATTTAATCAAGTGGTTTGTTGGACAGAATAGGCCAAATTCTCTCTCGGATTCCAAGGGGATTGGCACATCAAAGAGATAGAGTTAAGGCCATCCCTGATGAAAACTTCATAGATTTCAGGGACTTGGATTAATTTAGTCCAATGACTGTAACATCAGTCTAGTCTCCAAATAGTTTAGAGTAACTAATGCACCCTCTTTTGGGCAGGGACTATCTCTCTGTTCTGTTTGTACAGCACCTAGCACAATGAGGTCATGGTTCATGACAGCCGCTTGTAGGGGCTACAATAATACCATTTTTATTATTTGTATCTGCCTTGTGATTGGAAGATTAATTGCATTTTTACTCTTGGTCCCCTGTGCATATATTACTGGATATTAGACAATATTTTGTTTAAGAAAGGGATCACCTCCACAAGCTTCCGAGAAGAAAACTGCCTGGCAGACAAATATAGTCAAGTGATTCTTGCATTGTTAACACTATTTTGCTGACTAAGTGAAAAAGAGGAACCATAATAGGAGAGTTTTATCCAGAGATATGAAAGGAATC